AAGAGAGGGAGAGAGAGGAGAAGAGAGAAAAGGGAGAGACAGAAGGAGAGAGAGAGACAGAGGGAGAGAAAGGAGGGGAGAGAGAGAGAGAGACAGATCTGAATCTAATTCCTTCCCTTCTTGTGAAGCAGGAAATCTGAAGAATGTGAGTCCTTTGTCCCTGCCGACTTCTTCCCTGTCTTGCCTGTCTGCAGCTTGAACTGCCGCCTGGCATCTGCGGGGCGCGAGGCAAAGGCCCTTTCTTGCCCAGCGGAGACTTTCTAAGAAACCATCCTTCAGCGCGCTGTTCCGTAGCTCTCAGCAGTTTTTAAAGACCGTCTAGGATGTGTTTGAACACATAAACATCGCTGGTTTCTAGCTGTCTGCCGTCCCATTGACCCTGAGAACATCTACAGGACACTAAGGGAAACCATTTCTGTGACCCCAAGTTTAACCAAGTGACTATTAACTCGTATTCCTCAATTACCCAAAAGAGTTTGAAATGGTAGCTTCATCCCTTTATCCCCCTTAGCACTAGATAGGAGAGATAGAGGAATAGAGGAGGAGAGTAAAAAAAGGAAAAAAAAAAAAAAAAAGATCCTTGAATCTTATGAAAGAAAGGGGAGATAGAAAGACCTGGAGGGGACAGGAGCCCCACAAGGAGAGCAACAGAACTAAAAAATCTGGGGCGCAGGGGTCTTTTCTGAGACTGATACTCCAACCAAGACCCATGCATGGAGATAACCTAGAACCCCTGCTCAGGTGTAGCTCATGGCAGCTCAGTGTCCAAGTGGTTCCCCCAGTAAGGGGAACAGGGGCTGTCTCTGACATGAACTCAGTGGCTGCTCTTTGATCACCTCCTCCTGAGGGCGGAGCAGCCTTACCAGGCCACAGAGGAGGACAATGCAGCCAATCCTGATGAGACCTGACAGGCTGGAGTCAGAGGGAAGGGGAGGAGGAACCTCCCCGATCATTGGACTTGGAGAAGGGCCATGGGAGGAGAAGAGGGAGGGAAGGAGGGATTGCGAAGAGATGAGGGAGAGGGTGGGATCAGGAGGGGTCAAGGGAGGGGGGCTACAGCCGGGATACAAATCGAATAAACCATAATTCATATAAAAAATTAAACATTGAATTAAAAAAAAATAGATCCCTCAATCCAACCTCCTTTCTTTTGCTTCCTCCCCAGCCAAGACTGTTAACAACCTGTGGCCTTGAAACCAACATCCATCCCCTATGGGAAGACCAAAAAACCACCCACCCCCCCTCTTGGGGCAGGATGTCGTTCTCTCTAAACTGCTTCCTGCTGTCTGGTGTGATGGTTTCTTGGGGAGGGGGATGGGGGTGACCCATCCTCCTCTTCTGCTTGACTCTGGTCTTTTATTTTTATTTTATTTTTAACCCCGTAAACATCTTAAACGTTCTGCCTTCCTCACACACACTCAGGGAACGTGGACAAGAACAGCTACCGATGACCCCCAGCCCTGTGTCCACGCAGGTGGGAGGCAGCTGCCTTTCTCCCCCAGTTGGTTGGGACTGGACGGACAAACCGCCCCAGACATGTCCCTCCACGGACTAGGAAAACGCGACCCAGGACATCGACCCTGCAGAGACATTTCTTCTGAGACTCAGCGGGTCACAGGACGATTCCCGATTCCCACGAAGGAGAAGACCCAGCCTTCACGTCCCCCCACTCTAGGGCCATTCTCTGTCCCCGCTGAACTCGGGGCTGCTTGTGGGCTCAGATACAAATCACCATGATGGACCCTGAAGACTTTATGTGGTCACGTGAGACACTGTCCAGGGACACATTTCGTTCTTGAGAAAACGAGCAGGCGATTCTCAAAAGAAGAGAAAGGCAATTTTGAATTTGTAAATGGGGACTGGAGGGATGGTTCGGTGAGTTGGAAGAGTCTCTGCTCTTGTGGAGGGCAAAGGTTCGGTTCCCAGGACCCACACCTAGACTCACAAATGTCTGACTTTAGTTGTGAGGGATATGACCCCCTTCTCCTTCTCCTCCTCCTTCTCTCCTCCTCTTCTTCTCTTCCTTCTTCTCCTCTCCTCATCTTCCTCCTCCTCCTCCTTCTCCTCCTCCTTCTCCTCCTCTTCCTCTTCCTTCTCTTCCTTCTCCTCCTTATTCTCTTTTAACTTCTCCTCCTCCTCTTTTCCTACTACTACTCTTTATCCTCATCCTCATCCTCCTTCTCCTCCTTCTCCTCCTCCTCCTCTTTCTCCTCCTCCTCCTCTCCTCTTCCTCCTTCTCTTCCTCTTCCTCCTCCTCCTCTCTTCTCCTCCTCCTATCCTTCTCCTTCTTTTCCTCTTCCTCCTCCTTCTTAGATTTCTTTTATTTATCATGTATAAAACGTTCTGACTGCACGTGAGCCTGCACACCAGAAGAGGGCGCCAGATCTCACTATAGATGGCTGTGAGCCGCCATGTGGTTGCTGGGAACTGAACTCAGGACCTTTAGAAAGCACAGCCAGTGCTCTGAACCACTGAGCCACCTCTCCAGCCCGACCCCTTCTTCTGACACGCACACACGCAGGACCTCGCACACGTGAAATGAGCTGCTGGGTGGTGGAGGCCCACGCCTTTCATCCCGGCACTCAGGAGGCAGAGGCAGGCAGACCTCTGAGCGTGAGGCCAGCCTGGTCTCCAGAGTGAGTTCCAGAACAGCCAGGGCCACACAGAGAAACCCTGTCTTGAAACACCAACCAACCAACCAAAGTAATTAAATATTTAGAAACCATGAAAAAATACCCAGCCTCGCCAGCTCTCAGAGCAGTGAAAATGAACCGCATTGATATTTCATCTCACTGTATCGGTCACTGAGAAAACAGATGAGGAGAGCTGGAGAGGTCGCTCAGAGGGTAAAGAATCTGAGTTCCGATGCCCCAAACTCACGGGAAAGCCAAGGGCGATAGAGTGTGTATGAGATCCTGCTGCTCCTGTGGAGATTACAGTGGAGACAAAAGAATGCCCAGGAGCTCCCTCCCGGGCCAGCTAGCCTGGTGTGGGCTGCAGCAGACATCAGAGAGAGGCAGAAGGCAGGGAGCAGCAGGCGAAGCTCTCCTCTCCCTCCCTCAAATGCATCCCCACGCATACATGTGAAAGCATGTGTCCACACATCAGACACAGGAAAAGGAGGAGGAGAAGGAGGAGCAGGAGGAGGAGGAAAAAGAAGAAAGAGAAAAAATAATGATGATGGTGTTGATGGTGATGATAATGAGGAGGAGAAGGAGAAGGAGGAGAAGAAGGAGAAGGAACAGAAGGAGGAGAAGGAGAAAGAGAAGGAAGAGGAGAAGAAGAAGGAAGGGGAGGAGGAGAAAAAGAGGAGAAGGAAAATGAAGACAAGGAGGAAGAGAAAAGAAAAAGAAAAAACCAATGATGATGATGATGGTGGTGATGGTGATGATAATGAGGACAAGGAGAAGAGGAGGAGAAGAAAAAAAGGAAGAGAAAGAGGAGGAGGAGAATGAGGAGAAAGAAGAGAGAAAATGATGATAATGGTGATGATGATGATAATAAAGAAAAGGACAAGGAGAAGAAAGAAAGAGGAGGAGAATGGGGGAATAGAAGAGAAGAAGGAGGAAGAGGAGGAGAAGAAGGAGGAGAAGGAAAAAGAGAAGGAGGAGAAGGAGGAGGAGGATGAGAAGTAGTAGAAGGAGGAGGAGGAGAAGGAGAACAAGGGGGAGGAGGAGGAGAAAAAGGAGGAGGAGGAGGAGGAGGAAGAGGATAATTAGAAGGACAGGAGGGGCTGGAGCGGCCCTGAGGCTCAGAGCTCTTGCACAAAAATTCACATTCCCTCCCCAACACCCCTCCATCAACCAAAACTCCCCTGAACCCCAGTTCCAGAGGACCCAGCGTCCTCTGCCCTCTCCACGGTCCTCGGGTGAGCACAGGGCGCGCACACAGGAGCCTAGGAAGCTCACGTCCATTAAAACCAAACGTCTGAGAAAGGAGAAGGAAAAAGGGACCAGAGCAGCTCATGGGGCTGGTGCAAGCGTTTAATCCCAGCCCCCGAGGAGGAGGGAGGGATGGGAGGACAGAAGGACAGAGGTCTCTCCCGGGCCTGCAGGAAATCCCATCTGCAGGAAGCTCTGTTTGGAGTCTATTCCTGGGGGCCTTTTTCACAGATCTGCGTTGCCGTCCCCGCGGCGGCCAGCAGGGGGCAGCAGAGCCTATGGCGGTTTCCGTTGATCGGCGTTGCCGTCCCCGCGGCGGCCAGCAGGGGGCAGCAGAGCCTATGGCGGTTTCCATTGATCGGCGTTGCCGTCCCCGCGGCGGCCAGCAGGGGGCAGCAGAGCCTTGGGAATGGCGCTGCGGAGGCTCAGCTCCAGGCTGCTTCCTGAATCCGAACCTGTGCCCTCTGCAAAGACACCCGGGGCCTCCTAATGGCTGTTCTCTCCTCCTGGCCCTTTTCCTGCTTTAACCAAAACACGCTCCATCCTCCTCCCCCTTTTCCTATCCCTTCTCCATCCCTCCCCCATCCTCCCCTGCCGATTTTTTGCCTCATGTGCAAAGGCAGGAGTCGAACCCGCTGAGCTTGTTTCCCTTGGTTCTTTGTGTGACCAGGGAGCTGGTCCCCCGCCCCGAGGCCCATTCCCCTCCCCCCAGGGAGAGCCCCCTTCAGCGATGACCACCGGGAGGAGGAGGGGGAGGAGGAGGAGAAGGAGGAGGAGGGGGAGGAGGGGGAGGGGAGAAGGAAGAAGAGGAGGAGGGGAAGGAGGAGGAAGAGGAAGAGGAAGAGGAGGAAGGGGAGGAGGAGGAGGAGGAAGAGGAGGAGGGGGAAGG